GCTTTCATTTACTGTCACTTAATGTTTACAACGTGAACCGAAGTGTTCATTTCGCGAGAAAAGTGATGAATTCGACTTATCAATCTGTAGTAACTCCTTGTCATTTCAGGCTTCCCTGCAGACCGTCGACTGACCGGTCCTAATGATCCACGCAAAAAAATCTTGAGCATTCTACATTTATCTTGAAGTGTAATTCAAATCTTCAACAGCGAGCTGGATAGGGTTTACATTGGAAAGTTGGGATTTGTTCAGACTAGTAAATATTCATCTATGAGCAAAGCTTTAGAATCAGATTAGGTTGGTTGCGCAGATGGATGACATGATTTGCAGTCTGAATATCAGCGTGGAATGGACTGCATAGTGGTGTGATGTACGGTGTAGTAAGGTACAGTATGTGGGGATGAATACTCCCTTACCGAAACGCTCAGCTTTTTCTCAGACGCGGTCTCCTCCATAATTACTGGTGGTCTTTTTTTTGCGCGTTTGCGCACATTGCGAATTAGATTCAGCAAATTTAGTTTTTTTCAAAAACTTAAAATGAAAAAGCCCGAAGTTAGGTTGTGGAAGGATTCTTATTACTTTATTTTTTCTTTTGTCCATCAGAGGCAATTAAATGGAGTGAGAAATTTTAGTTTACTATTTTAAGAGAGTTTGCAAAGCTGTTACTAAGCTTAAAAAAGTCGTAGTATTTCTTTTTGTTAACAAATGAAACGTGCCGCTGCGGAATGGATCCAGTGTTGATGTGCAGATGCCACCAAGACTGAGACTGTTATCCTCTTACTTTAAAAAAATGAGTTTTTTATTAACCAAAGTCATAGAGCTTCAAACGACAGTTCCAACCGCTTAAAGTAGCCGGTACTCAAACTTCTATTTGTGCTTTAACTAACAACATGGAACACTGAAGCTTAACATTATAAAATTTCGTCGAGCGTTCTTTTGTTTTATCATTTGCTGTAATAAAAAGTGCACTATAAACAGACTGCCAAAAATTGACAGCACATCCGGTAATGGTTCTGAGGCGCTCAAAACTGAAGTCTTACAACTATACCGTACGCCCAACAACTCTTTGGGCACCACAATATGTCAGCCAAGTAATACACCGCAGAAGGCTACCGGAAGACTGTAGGGTGTGAAGGATGCGTACTGAAAGTTCCTACGCCATAGAGTATAATAAAAAAAATTCTCACCATACCGTTAAACAATCAGAATTTTCAGTCTGTTGATGCCTATGTGCGTCTCAAAAGGTCTGAATTTTTTATTTAGCGAATGTGTAGAGATCGTTTAACCGTCATACGGTGATACTAAAAAATTTTGCTTCTTGCTTTGAAATTTTGCAGTACCTGCCAGGGGGAACTCTTACTTGTCACATTTAATTAGTATTATTTTCTGTTGTTTTAGTTGTCAAAATTAGAGAAAATGTTCTTTGCTGTCAAACAGTGGTATCAGGTAGTGGAATCGCAAAATTCTACACTACAATAATGCAGTTTAAAAAAAGCTATACATGGTTGTAGAAGTACAGTATTTGTTCAGCGCAAACTGATAAAGAGAAATTTGCCTGCTCAGCCCAATACTAGCACGTTCTCTGGGCACTGCCTTAGAATTGTATCATGAAATTATTTGTAGTATCAAGTTTGATTAAAAAAAAATACGCAGCCACAATGCCAAAATGCACAGCCCATTTATTACTTTGATACGTGAATACTCCTCTTCCACAAACAAACATTTGCCTTCAAAAACCATAAAGCTTCCTGGCTGTACAGACTGTTTATAAACTAAGAGGTTTGAATGAACGTTGGTCTTGGCGGATCAGAAAGTTCATTCTCACTGCAAGCGCATGCTTGCTTACAACAAAAAGTATTTGAAATAAACGGGACTTCAAATTCTTTTACAGAATAAATGCAGTAAGAGATCGACATTCAGGTGACTAAAACAACGAGAAAAAAAATTTCTTTTACAAAAAAATTTCTTTCACAGAAAAAAATCCTGATCTTAACTGGTTCCTTTGATACAAAGCGACTTCTATTTTGGGTGTAAAACTAAAACAGAGAAGAACATAATTTTTTGGCCACTTGAAAAACCTTCAAGGAGAAGCAAAAAATTTCAAACGGAGCTCAAGAGAATCGAAAAATAATACAACAGAAACTATAGTCTTTCCAACAATAGCTTTACAAAAGTATAAGCGAAGCTCAAAAGGATGCCGCTTTCCTGAAGCGGGAATTTCAAGCAAAATGAAGTAACTCTTTGTCTAGCTTCACTTATTATTCATACCCACAAAAAAGAAACTTACAACTTTCCAGAATGCTATCATTCTACGACCTTAAGTTTACCTTTTGCAATGGGAAACACAACAAGCAGAGGCCGTACTAAGACTTATAGCACGTACGCTGTGATAAACAGTTATATGCCGCCACCTAAATATAGTATCCATCTATAATTACTAGCCATTTATGAATTATGAAACATTTTAACCTAATGAACCTGTCGGCTAGCGATACCAAACATCTTCTAGAACTGTGTTGAACCTGTTTACTTCAATATACAATTTTCAACAAATCTATGTAGTAGCAGTGCAGAAATTTCTTGACATGAACCCCTCAAATCCCGGACTCAACTTCGAAATGCAGTCAAACATCAAGAAACGTTAGGTCATAGTAGCCAAAAATCCTGAAGTTTCTGTAAGCATTACCGAAAGTCAGCACGATGTGACTTGTAGTTACAGAAAAATTAAACTTCTGTATCTTTTAATACTATTTGTAGAAATACACACAAATGGGAGATGGTTGAAAACATGCGAAGTTTCCAGTGAAGAATAAACTGTAAACTTTTAAACTGTAAAATTTTTTAGAGTTTAACTCAATTTGAGCCGCATCTAAATTTCCCATTCATCTTTGAATACTCTTCACGTGTTTAAATCGACATGTAGTCTATTTAGCTATAAGGTACAGGCGAATGAAACAAGGACAGAACGCAAGTCAAAAGATTCAACCACAATCTCAAGTGAACACAATCAAAAACTCTTCTCCACTATATTTTTTTTGTTTTTTGACAATATTTGAACCAAATGAATTTCTAATGGCAAACTGCAAAGCTGACGGTTCGCGGCAAAATGCATATCTTATTCTTCCGTATACCAAATTAAAACTACTGAAATTCCTAAGCTCACTTTTAAATAAAGTGCAGTTCAGCATCTTCTTACGTAGTAATAAAGGTCTTCAAGAAATTCATTAAATCTATAAATCTTTCTGAAATCATAAAAAACACTTCCAGTAAACAATTTTATAATATTTCTTCATATATAAGCAGAACTTTAAAACTGTATTAGACAAGGTACAAGGCGCAAAATCACATAAATTGTTATAATAGACCGACTATGATCATCGAAGCTGACTTAGAAAAAAAAAGAACACAATTTTAAAAATGTTCTATATGTTTCACCGTCCATAAAAAATAATTCAAAACTTCCTAATTAATATCATTAATCAGTTGGGAGTTTAACATAACGATAGAAATTATCCAGTAAATCATAAAAAAGTAGAAACGTCTACAAAAATTAACAAAGACCAGTAAAAGAAAGCATTTTGTGAGTTTGGTCGTCTGCGGTAGATATCATCAATTACTACTTAACAGAAGAAAATGAAATGCTTTACTGAAAGTCTATAACAATAGTGCAAGACTTAACAAGTTTTCTGGGGAAACAAAAGTGTAATCGAGACAACAGACATGAGAAAACAAAAGAAAACAAATGAAGTAATAAAGTAACTTTTGTAGAAAAAAAAACATTTCGGAAAAAAACGAACACTGAAAGAACCTATGATTGAAATATCAGCTGATCGGTGATGCTGCATTAAGATAGTTGAAGTTAAGTATAATCTGCCATGAAAGAGTTAAATATAAGGCCTCAAAAAAAAATCACTATAAGACTCAAAATAAAAAAAAAGTACGAGTTATAACGATCCTATTCTTTGCAAATAAAAAAAAATTAGCCCTTCAACAATAAAACCCCCTAAACCACTGATATAAAATCAACTAAGGATATATTTCATTCGAATCGAAAGCTATGATAAAATTGACTTATATATAAGAGAACCGTAATTCGGCTGCATTATACACTTCTAAGAATCGCCCGGTTAATTATCAAAAACAACGGTCCAAAAATGCTTACTTCCAACATTCTCTGCAATTAAATTTTTTTTGCTGTTCTTCCACTTGAAATCTCTAAGTATTTTGCTAAAACTAGCTCTTCTTTTTTATTAGTGCTGTCGCTAAAAGGACGCCTCTTAAAGAATTCTTAACTTTGTAGCTCCTACTGAAAAACTGTAACACTAGTAAACAAAATAACAAGAAAATACGAGCGTTCTAATCTAGACAACTCTAATAACAAAGTTTCACAAAGAGATAGAACAGTAGACAAAAAAACTACATACCATCAAACACTAAATTAAAGTTGAAGACGCATGCTAAAATACTAGTAACTTTAATGACTGTTACAGCTTTTGTTTTCGAAGAAGTTAAAAGTAGCTATGCAAAGAAATGCAAGAAAATGAGCAGAAATGATCTGACTATTTACATTCATCACATTCACCGTAACAGCACCCTATTGGAACCTACCGAGATAATATTAACTGCAATATACAAACAAAAACATTTACAAGGCACTCTCCCCGAAAATTCAAGAAGAAAACTCAGCCTCTCAGTGACAAAAAACAACCATGGATTTGACTATTTCGAAAATAAGCAATCTTCTGTACGAAGTAGGTAAAAAATCTAAAGTCTTAAATTTAAAACCTTATTAGCACCAGTAATTTATGATAGTAACTTTAGAAGGCCTTGCAGCAATATCACATAGCTAACTGATCGCCTGAGTAAAAAGACTAAGCGAATATCATGAGGTAATCGAATTACAAATGGCAAATCAATTAATAATTTTAGTAGAAAACCAAGCCTAAGGTTCTAGTTTTCACAACATGTAAACCCGAGGACAGTGACTAAAATCCTAACCATCACAAGGCTTGAGTAGTTTCAAACAGAAGCTGCTCCGAAATATTGTCGAATGAAACATACTTAAACAACCGCATTACCTGATAACTTTCTAGCATAGCGGAAGACGCCGAAAGTATACCGGATATCATCAAAATCAAATTCCCGAATCTTTCTGAAATAATCTATTCGATAACAGTTTTGAAAAGACATTGCTTTGCTGTACTCCGTCTCACTTTCTTTACTGACATGAATAATTAACCTAATTTTCTCTTAAATCCTCACCTTCATAATTTGGAAAATTAATTGAACGATAAAATGCAAAAAGAGCTAGAATTATACGGTTTCTGCAATCATTGATTATGCGTCGCGATTCTTCTGAAATCCCTAAACTTTCCGGATAATCTGAAAAAAATAGTTCCAATATGCTTCCCCGTATATTTCAGTCAACTGAGCAATAAAATTTCTTTGCAATGATATTTAGAATTTTTTACAAAAAAGTAGTAAACCACCC